CGTTCAATAAATAATGTCATTAGCTCGATTATATACAACATAGTAGTCAAATGACATAAAGCTTGACTTTCTCTCATTATTGAATCTTTAATGAATTTATAACAGTTTATGTGACCACTTTTCATCACATAGTTTTATCGTGAGAAGCTGGGAAAGAAGGGCTACTCGAGACACTGCATTATAAATGAATGGTAAAGAATCAGTAAACTAGAGTGAAAATAAAAGCTACATTAAAGCTGCTGTAAAACTTTTTAAAAATCCCAAAGAAATATTCACTGAAATATGTGACATTTACAGCAACCGATGCCTGTTTTATAGACAAATTAGCAGGTGGATTTCAAAGACAAAAAATTATATAATGGCAATCAAAAATGGGTACCCTCCTTGCCAACAAAAATTATAACAACTTATGTACTGTTTCCCAAATTTCAACAAATAATATTTGATGTTGTATGATTGACTTTAAGACACATAGCAAATTTGATAGACATCATATCGGGAGTAGTTTACACAGTTTTTAAGAAACGTTTGACAGTAATTAAGCTTGATACTCTAAGGTCACCCTGTATTTTGAAAAATGAGTGAAAACGACAGCGTGTACCAAAGTCTTAACAATTATTTTAAAATATCAGTAATTGTAGTAATCCACGTTTGTTTTATATTCAAACAGATATTGGAACATGAATCTATTGCTTAAAACCATTAAAACTAAATTTACCATAAGATGTACTTCATAAAAACGGCGATGGTCTGTCAAGAGCAAAGGTATGCAAGAGCACAAAAACAGATTTATATGCAATTTTCTTAAATATTAGTGGTATTATTGTTCAAATTCCCAGTTTAATATCTGGATAGAAAGCAGTTTTTTTGCAAAGAAATCGAGAGGTTTATCAGAGAAAGGACCCAGAATCAGGAATCCACTACATTGAATTTCTTCATGACAGCGTTTAAACCCGCATGCCACAAATAGTAAAGGGGTTTACGGGATAAACAGAAAGTTAATGCTTTTTCACATTAACAATATTTGCCAGATCTTTGACCTTTTGACTTGTTTCTATTTCCAAACTTGAATAAAACACCTTTGAAAAAAAACAAACGCTGCCATTTTCCAATAAAGGGTCATACCCAAAAATAAAAAACAATCAGAAATTGGATAAAAAATGTTACGGACATTTGTTTGAATTAAAATAGATTATTAAGTAAAATCATGAATACAAAATCATTGAAAAGCGTCTTCTGAGCCCCAATGACAATATTTATTGAACGCCCCTCATATTTATCATTATCTTTAGAACACACATCATATACTATTTATAACTGTTACCTAATTTTACGAGTATATGGCACGCCAAAGTCACAAAAAATGGGCTAAACATAGTTTTATAGTTGATAAACTAAGATTATAGTCTGTAAACTATAGTTTACAAATTATGAACTATAGTTAACAATTCGATAACTATAGTTTTCATCTGTAACACTATATTTAACGGTTGTTAACTATAGTTTACGAACGCTAATCTAACTTTATGTCTGTAATAAAATGTTTCTAATAGATTTTGATGATAAACATATATTCACGTCTGTAAACTATAATTTACAATCGTGAACTATAGTTAAAGAAATGTCAACAAATATTGAAAGTATTTTTTATCAGATCGTTTACTATAGTTATGAGTTTAAAACCATAGTTTACAAATCGTTAAACTGCATTAATTTATCAGATGATATATGTTTTGCAATTGCAAATTATTTTTTTTAGCATTAAGTATAGTTAACGGTTCTAAAACATAGATTATCGCGTTAACTATGGTCTGCAGATGTAAAATTAAGATTGACATTGTTAACTATAATTTACAGTCCGTTATTGATGGTCTACAACCGATTAACCTTGATTATCGACTGTGAAACTATGATTAGCCCCTTTATTGCAGCACTACCTGTGACCCATGTTAACACCGTTAGTATCGTTTTCTATAAAAACTCATTTTTAGCTGTTGCAGTTGCCAGCTTATGTTTCATTTAACCCCATTGATTTTAAAGTTACGTGTAAAAATATAGTTCAGCTTTTGAATTTTAAATAAAATAAAGTTTATCTAAATAAATAAACATATTTAGTAACCTTTGAAAACTTCAGTCTTAAGTCAAAGAACATAGTTCATTAGTTTAAGGATTTTTGATAATCAGTGTTACATGTATCTTAGTTCTCTACACATACAAAAAAGCAGGAGAGGGAACCAGACTGACTTGTTTGTTTAATTTCAGTTGCGGTACCAGATTAATTCTGATTCTGACAAAATGGATTGAAACTCACTGTCAGTGTCTCTTCATTTATATTGATAATTTCAGAATTTTAAATCTGATATTCTTTTTTTTGTGTAAAAAAATCATAATGATTTTACTCTGTAAATGAGCCCGGCTGGCTGTACATCTGAGTACTTTTATTACATGGCAGTTTCGAATTTAATGAGTATGGAGTTTAGTCCTTCAGATGAGGATATAACTGAAATGTGTCATTTCTTTTATCATTGCGATGATGACCGATGCACAAAGAAGATGCTTCTATGCAAGTGTTTACATTATCTGCATAATTATTTTGTTTAAACACATTTTGATTGCACAAACAAGTACTCTGAAGTTGACATCAAGTTGATGTTTGAGTTTCTGATTGACAATATCTATGTGGTTTTTGGAAACCAGGCATTCCAACAATATCCTGAGATTCTAATGGGTACAAATAATTGCGCTCTGTTATGATCAGGCCTATTTTGTATTCATATGAAGCAGAATTTGTGAAAAACCTTAAGAGGGAAAAGAAAAAATTGGTGTAGCCTTCAACTTGATATTTAGATATATCGACGACATAATGTCATTTAACAATGGTTATTTCCATTTCTACGTCGGCACGATATATCCTAGTGAGCTTGAGATAAAAGATACCACTGAGTCTGACACATCTGTCAAATACTATATTACTTGAAATAGACGTTGATAGTAATTTAACAACCAAGCTGTATGATAAAAGTGATAATTTTTACTTTTCTATCGTTTACTTCCATTACTTATGCAACAATATACCTTCATCACCTGCATATGGAGTATTTATATCTCAGTTGATTCGATACGCAAGAGCATGCTGTATGTATGAACAATTTCTAAAATGAGGTAAATTATTGACAAACAAGTTTATGAAACAAGAATATCAGCAGTGTCGTTCAAAGTCATCATTTCTATGGACAATGAACCTGTCAGCAAATAAAATTTATCATTGAGTCAAATGCTGACTGACGTTTTTTTTTCATACTAATTGTTAGGCCATTATATACAAAGTCAATTGTAGACGAATTTTCTGTTATCTCCTAGTCAGGACAAGGAGCACATGGCGGGTGTGACCGGTCAGCAGTGGATGCTTACTCCTCGAAGGCACCTGATCCCACCTCTGATTTTGCGATGGTCTGTGTTTGCTCCTGTTTCTGTTTTGCATCGTTTATGGACTCTGAGATTGGACTCTTTTCGTTATCTCTATATTTTTTTTTATTAAAGAGAATAAATTATAATAATATATTTTGAATTTAATGTCTAAATGGTGAGAGACAAAGAGCAGCAATTGATTTTAAAATCTGTAACCTAAACAATATTTTAAATTGACTACGGTAAAAATGCATTGAGATTGAAATTTCTACCTGCTTCGCATTTTGTTTTATGGTGAAATAGCATATATATCACTTAGAACTGTGTTTTCCTGATGCTCTTAGTTCTCAATTTTGTATTGTATTGGTTTCCACTTAGAAGTCCCTGTCATGTTTAGGATAGATTGTATTTTCTAACATTGTCAAAATATTGAACATAGAGCTTACGAAAAGTTGACTGCTGACATTCTTGACTCATCAAATTGTTTGTCAATTTCTTACCTCGTGTTAATTTTTTTTTCTGATCTTGTTTGTATCATGTTTTATATATGTTTCATGCTTTTTTTTTCGGAATACGGCTGATGCGTTAAATTGAACAGAGCACTCATCAATATGATTCTTTTATTGTGCCTACAGAGGAAGTGACCTGTCTACACTTGATCAAATTTCTATCAAGTTTTTATGAATCTGTTTTTGTTCTGTTCTTAATCAATTTATTTACCGCATTTGTGAGATTGATCAATAATGGATAGAAATGCTTAAAATAATACATGAATTAATTAAAATTGTTAAGTACTAGAGAGTGTTAGTTAAGAGCAAATATAAAGTAAAAATGATCTAACGCTAAAAAAAGAAAATCGTAACTTATTTCTTTCATTTTGACATAAATATTTGTACTGATTTTTTTTTTTCGTTTTTCCTTGCAAATATTGTACATGTATGATATTTGACCATCTCGAGCAGGGGTGTTTTGACTTTTTTTGAAGAGTTACGTTACATTTAACAGTTATTTTTTTTATTATATTGATTTAGAATTATTTTTTATTATGAATTTGAATCAGCACCATGCACAAGTAAAACTAACCATTCTCTTTGTACTCCTCAAGGATTTCACTGCAAACTTATAATGAATATTAGATGGACGATTAAACGAATACATTTTTAACGTGAAAATTTTTATAGACAGAAAATCGTTGTTTTTTTAAATCATACCACGATAATTCAAATTTATGACTATGATTGTTTACATGTATTTTATTTTATGAATTAAGTGTTCATGTTATTTGGTGTTGAATGGAGCAATGCTATTTTACATTTACAATTGTATGACCTATGAAATAATTAAACATACCCTCATTTGACGATATTTAAAAGATCAAGAGATTCAAGGATATGACCAGGAAATTTACTTCACTTTTCTAATTGTGATAAGGATTTTGTGTTTTCATCCACTCATGTACAAAATGAATTAAAAAATAAAACAAGGAAGTACGTTAACATCATTATATATTTTTCCACACAAAGAAATGAGTAAAATTAAGTTTTATATACATTTTGTAATATAAATATTGTTTTAATTGTAGTCGTACATTCACAATATGAGCTGTATACAGAAATGAACACTATGCTTCATACATTTGATTAGTGCACGTTAAAAATACGAATAATGAGGATTGTGAGCATTTTATTGTATGGTGAGTATATATTACAATTTAATGTTAATAATAATCATAAAACGCATTACAATTGTACGTTTTTCCGTTCAGCCATCACGGTGGCTTAGTAAGTAGAGCCCTCTCTCCATTATCGGGAGGTCGTTTTTTTTTTTCAAATCAGGGCTGCGAATGAACTAAGTCGATAAAAAATAGCAACTGATCATTTTTAAAACCTTTTCAGGAAGGATATGGAGATAACGAACAATATTCGATATCAAAGTCCACAAAATAATACAAAACAGGAGCAGAGCAAACACGATCAAAGTATTTGCAATGAACTTTATACGAGGGTTGTCCAGAAAGTTCGTGGACAATGACGTTTTTGTGGATATAAATGGTTCTATATAAATCTTTTGTATATCAAAATATTTGTAATGAAAAAACAAATCAGAATGATTTAATTTTTATGGATGGAACATGATATTTTTGCAAAAATCAGAGTTTTTCAATCAAGGTCGCAGATAGTGGGCACGGACCAAGGTTAAAATGACATAGAACGTCATTGTCAACGAACTTTTTGGACAACCCTGGTACATATTAGATCCGTAATACTAATGTGAAGGGGAATAATTGCGTCAACCTATATTTTATTTTGACGATGACCGATACACATAATTCATGCTTCCCCATTCATCAAAGGATATTAGGAAGGCTATTTTGAATATATTCTCAAGAATAAAAATACCGGTAGACAGACAAACAGCAAATGAACTAATATGGATATCTGTAATGGGCATACATCATAGTCCGTAGAAATCCCAGAGGCTTGTGTTTGAAAATGTGACGTCACATTTTTAGCTCACCTGATCCGCAGGCTCAAGTAAGCTTTTCTGATCAAAATTTGTCCGTCGTCTGTCGTTGTTGCGTGTGAAAAACGTCGACTTTTGTGTAAACTTTTCACATTTTCATCTTCTTGCAAGAATCCACTGGGCCAATTCGGAAGTCATTTTATTACAAATGTATAGATGGGTAAATGGGATTTAGGTTTTTCAAATTGAATTATTTATGCTTTTGAATTTTTGGAGTAAAAAAAACATGAATTAAAATAAAAAATAATGGCATATTTTAAAAAATCTTCTCCTTCCACTGGGAAATGTGACAAATTATAGTGGAATCATCCTCAGGTACAACAATTTTAAGGGCATTGAATTCAATATATGACCCATGGGGGTATGGTGGGGCTTAAATATTTTTTCACAATGAATATATAGGAAAAATCTTTATTACTTTTTTCAATTTTTAAAAAGCAAAAATATCGGGACTCCGCTCTTGTCTTAACATTTAAAGTACGTGAAAGAAAATTTTAAAACAACGTGTCATTTTCTTCTCAAAAACCATACCTTTTAAATCACCAAATTTGTAAAATAATGTGTTGGTATTTTTGGGCCAAATAAATGGATGAAATTTTAATAGGAATATATTGAAACCTTTTAAAATCTTCTTTTCATATTATACTTACAATCTTTGCTTAGTGTAATTTTCAATGTAATGTTAGTTTCACTAAATGCTTATATTCTGTTTGTAAATCCTTTGTTTAATGTGTGCGCCCCCATCCTTTAAAAAAATTTTGGTTCTTCTTTCTGCCTTTTGTGATCCTTGGTCAGTAAACAACAACGATCACGGGACCGAATGGCATGGCACCACTGATAAACCTGTTTTCCTATATGTACATGAAATTGCTAAGATTTACGGCATAATCTAATACAAATCATGAAAAATACTTGGCACTGGGTTTTATTGTTTTGAAATAAAATAGTTATATAAATATTTAATAGTTACAACTTATTTATAAGCGGATTTCATCTTTTATTTGTAAATCCGAATTTATAGCCGTAAACAGTGAAATAAACAGAAGATACATTGTAATGAATGGCTAATATATAAAAATTGTATTTCATTTAGCAGTCATTTTTGATACCGGTATTTCGTTTTTAAAATTTAGATAAATAAATAAATACAAAATGACAATTATTTATTATGAATTACAACTGTAAGAGTATTAAATATATCTATTGGTTTATATGATACTAGTGTACTGATATTTAATTTAAACAGCTGCTAAATGAGGCGTTCTGAAAGTAGATTTCCATTTAATTAATGATAGAACCGTTCCTAATGTCCATACGATATTTCAAGTGAAAGTAGAAAATCCAAAAACCGAGGCAAAACGTGCGATAAATCGTGTACAATGCGTGTGAGAAACGTGTAAAAGCGTTTCGTGCAGCCTTTCGTGTAAACCGTGCAGCCTTTCGTGCAAAAGTGAAAGTTTCGTGTAAACCGTGTAAAATTTCGTGGAAACCGTGCAGCGTTCTTTTACCGAAATGCAGCGAGCTTGTGAAGGAAAAATTTGAACAAATTTCAAAATATTTCGTAGGTAAAATAAAAATAACTTCGACACATTATTAAATAACAGGATGACACTCAAAAAGAGCAGAAATTGTTTTCTTAAAATATAATTCTAAAGAACCTATAAATCACAAAAGTAATCGTACACAAATGTCAAGCGTTTGTGTGTGCACAATTATAAAAAAATGATTTTTTAATTGATTGTATACAAAATGTTTAATGTCCCTCTCAAAAAATTTCAAGCAATGAAATTCAGAAATCCTTTTGATTTGTGATCCATGTAAAATAATGCCTATGCCCGGCGCTTATGGCCTTTGAGCAGGAAGGGATCTTTATCTTGTCACACCTGCTGTGACACAGGGCCTCGGTTTATACGGTCTCATTCGAAGGACAGCCCCATCTAGTCGCCTTTTACGACAAGCAAGGTGGTACTGATACAGATCAATGTCACACCCTTAGTAAATTAAACCATAAAACAGGATAAATTGTGATTTCTTTTGTAATTTCATATTTCTGTCATCTTGAAAATAAGTGAATTTACAAATCTTTATTTTCAAATTGGTTTCAATAAATGAAATAAAAGTAGAAACAAACCTAAATCGTATGAAACAATAGTCAATGTACATAAATATATATATGTAAGAAGTCCATGTATGATTATTTACTTATTTTCTAGTCAACTTAATCTAAATGTATGCTGTATTTTATTACTAAGTATGTAATAAACATATTAATAATACCCTTTTCCATAACACATCCTGTATTAGCTCGAGATTTTCCAATCATTACAACTAGTTTTACGATTTATTTTAGTTTCAGATTTTTGGCATTTAATGGCAAGGTTAGAGCACTTAGACTAAGACTCAAACGTATTGACACCAACCGCATCATGTCTTTATCCAAGTGTTACACCTCTGCACCAGAAACAACAAACACTGCTCGACTGGCGAGACTTATACTGGGTCCATGTACTGATGTGTTACGTGACATTCTAAAGACAGAAGTGTTACCATCTGATTTGTCCAGAAAGGTTAAAGAATTTACAGATAAACTTCCACGTGGACAAAGAAATCCCCTCAATAAAACTCAATCAGAGATAATTTTTCCCAAAGCAACGAATCAATACAGTGGTGATTATTCAGACTTAGACATATCGTTATTGTATTTAGTTCTAAGAAATATAAGTAAAATAGCACCACATTCCAAAGGTTGGGGAGAGATTCCGAATCCCGGAGACAGAAGCGTGGCAGCCAACATTGAAAGAATTCGCCTCATTAGAAACAAGTATTATGGACATTCAGCTGATTTGTCCCTGTCCGAGTCAGAATTTAGACAGGAATGGCGGAACATTCGGGACATTGTAGTGGAGCTAGAGCGACACCTAGGAGCCACCACGGTTTATCAGGATGCTGTCAACAAGATAAAATCCTGCTCCATGGACCCAGAGCAAGAGAAGAAATACATAGACTTACTTGGAGATATTAGAGAACTTCATATCACTGTGGATGATCTTCCCAGTAAGTAACCGTATACTTAATGTATATCATCTTTTTGTACTTACTTAGGACATATCGAAGGTATTTGTGGATAGATTCCATGCATGCATGATAAACATATCTGTCAGATCATCTTTTTAAGAACAAATATAAAAAACTACGAACGATGATCAAACGCATAAATTCTATGAAAAACATGTTTTGTTTTGTTTTTCAGAAAAAATGCAGATTATCTATAAAGGTTTTGTGCATCATGGTAAATATCTCTTTTTTGAGATTTGAGTATTTAAATAAGACGATCGAAAACTAGAAATCTAGTATGCCATTGTGTAATTTTTTTTTTACTAATGAAGAGTATAATCGATATTAGACGGCAAATAAGTGATGACTTCTACATGATATATATCTATATGATATAAGTAATCGTAAATGTATTCCATTGCTTTTGACAACACCGCACAGATATTTTTATAAATTGTTTTGAGCACTTCTTTTGCAGAATACAATATATGTTAGGTTATCGAAAATATATTCTATTTCATACTTGCATATTTTACTTGCAAAAGACGCTAATGGTTATCTAACAACCAAACATGTGAAGAAATATTTTAACTTTTCTATCGTAACTTCCTTACTAATGCAGACAATATACCTTCATCACCTGCAATTATATAAATCTCAGTTTATTCAATATTAAGAGCAAATAACTTCGGCACCTGATCCCATCTGATATAGGGTATTTTTTTTTACTTATTTTGTATTGTTTTATGGACTTTGAGGATTGAATACTGTTCGTTATCTACATATCCTTCTTCTAAAAAGAGGTAAATATTGACAAGCAAGTTGATGAAACAAGAATATGTCTCGTTTAAAGATCATTATTTCGTAGGTTCTTGGTCATAAAATAACCTTCTCAACAAATACAATTTATCATTGAAAATGCATTATTTTTTCATACCAATTGTTAGTCATTATTTGACGAATATGTTTCTTATTTCCTGAGAGAGACAAGGAGCACACGGCGGGTTTGAAAGGTGGTCAGGGGATGCTCAACCTCCATAGCACCTGATGCCACCACATTTGCACTTATTTTGTATTGTTTTATGGACTTTGAGATAATACTGTTCGTTATCTCCATATCCTTCTCCACTGCTTTTACTATTTTTTTAATACAAAAAGTGTTTAAATATCACTTCTTTTAAGTCATTTTTAACGATACTTACCTCATTGTTTTTATATTTGTAGATACTAAAGTTGCAAGACAGATCGGTAGGAGAATTTTCTAACATGATATTAAATAATAAATATGATCCCAGATGATTTCACAATTCTAAAACATCTACATCAGTTTGTTAAATAATGCATTTTGTTTAACTTTTATATTTACACGCAAATATCTTTATATGAATTATGTGAAGAGAAAATTACTTCAATTCTGTGTTATTTCATTTGGAAGTCAGACGTCATAGCGCAAAGAATCACACGAAATGTTTTGCAAACCAACTTCTAGTCATTACGAGTTACTACATAAATACGTATGAGATTCGATAATAAATTTTTGGAATGTATTCGTTCATATTCCGGCTTTTTGATGTGAAATGCATTATCTGATTCTTAACATCGTTGTTTAAAGAAGACGATTACAGCAAGAAAATTTAGATATAGTTTGTCAAGCTCTTTAAGCCTCATCCTAAAGGGAATGTTTTTCGTTATTCCTTCATTTCTTTATTCATGGGAAACTACAAAAGACTTAGATATCAAAATTTTCGAAGTTTTTTTTTTTTTTTTTGAAAAAAAATTCTTTCATTTGAAAACACCTATGATAGACACTGTTCCTTAGATGACTGTTTCTGAAATAAGGAAAATTAAAACATAAATAACTTTTTGATTATAAGTGCGCATTAAAAAGATATTTTAAATAAATCATATTTTTTTTGCAATTTGCATATTTTATTTGTATGTTCAAAGAACACATAAAAATAAAGTTTGAAATATTCTTTTTACATATTTAATACAATATTTTCATAAGTCCTTTTGAAGGGTTTGTCAAGATCTCAGAAGAAACACTAAAAATGTACATTTTCTATTCCTTCATTTCTTTACTTGAAAATATATAAATCCAATAGACATGAAAGGCCGTATAACTTAGAGATAACAATTATTTCCTTTCAGAAACAACCAAGAGAACCATACAAAAACATTATGAAGCCATGGACCATCTATTTGTGAAAACTCGTGCGTTTGACAGAGCGAAGGAACTGTTGGACAATAACGGGTATGTTGTCATCAAGGGAAACCCCGAAACTGGAAAAACCACAATCGCAAAGATGTTAATTAAAGAATTGATGGATGAGTGAAAATCTCCTCTTCAACTTTACAAATTAACAGATTTGTATGGTAACATATCAGCAAGGGATGGTATAGTGGCATTCATTGATAATTTATTTGGAGAGTTTTCTTTGAACAGCGACGATGTTCAGGAGTTTAGATCTATGACAGAGATGATACAAGTGTTAATTGAGAGTGGCGTAGATAATAAATCAAATAGCCTGATATTTACACTGAGAAATGATATTTATCAGGAATATGTACAAAGAAAGTGCGATGATGATTTTTTTCCAGTCGTCCATGGTTGACCTATCAGGCAAAGAAAATGCATTGCTCAAGGAAGAGATCATACAACTATCAGAAAATTATGATATATCAAAATACTTAAATAACAAAGAACTTATCAATACGGTATATGAAATGCCATTATCTATAGGGTTTCCACAATGTTGTAAATTGGCAAGAAGCAATGCAGATTTTAAACAAAATGTGTCTGCCTTTCTACCAAATCCAATGATGTTTTTAAGAAACTACCTGAACAATATCATTAAAAGTCGAACGGCAAAAACGGCAGTTTTAGTTTATCTTCTCCTGAGTGGAGGAAAAGTAGATGTCGAATTGATGGATAAGTCTTACCTTGATTTGGATATGAAACGCACCTCTTTACAATTTGTAGGTCTACAAAACTCATTTATTAACGATTTTCAGGACAGCATTAATTGTTTTGAAGGATTTTTAATTATCTATGACACGATAGAACATGCCTACAAATTTTCCCATAGCTTAGTACAGGAATCTCTTTTTGTTGTCTTGTTTTATTTTGATCCTGAAAAAATGATCCAAATGTGTCATTCGTCCTTACTTATGACACTGACGACATGTAAAAAGCCAAAAAGCACACAAGTTGTTATAGGACAAAGGTTATTCAAATATGTTGCCTGTCGCATAGCAAATATTATTGCAGAAAGGTCTGTGATTGGGTATTCCTCCATATCATCACTGGAATTGTGGAATGATTCAAACTTCCACGAGCATATATTAAAAACTGAACAATGCACTTCGAAATTTAAAACATGTCATGACTTCAGGGGGGATTCAGTGATTGTGCATTTTTCAAAGGCTGGGAATAAGCGATGGGTTGAATACCTCTTACCGAGTTCAGACAAGAAAACAAGATATAAATCACTTAATGCTGCTTGCTCAAAAAATCAACACGATATTGTTCATCTTATTTTGTCATCGGATGTGGATTGTGATCTTCAAACGTGTTTTTATGCTGTACAAAGTGGCAATATAGAGTTATTGCTCCGAGTTTGTGAGTTTGTTGATCTTCATCAAATTTCCTCTTCTTTACATCCTGTCTGGAGGTGTTTAAGCCACAGCTTACTTCAGGAAATTTGTTTTATGCAGCAGACACAATTAATTGAAAACGTTCTGGCAAAATATCCCTTTCTTGTAGATATAAAAGACAGCCAAGGTGGCAATGCCTTGCAATCCGCAGCAAGTTCTGGGGACAAAAATGCATTTAACCTTCTGTTAAAGTTTGGCTGTGATCCATATGAAAAAGATCGAGACAATGGCCACACAGTTCTTACTTGTGCTTGTCAGAATGGTAGGCTTAACATGGTAAAATTCCTTATTGAGAAGTATCCTGCATTACTCCAGGAACACACAGATTTTCTAGGAAATAGTGTTTTGTATTGGGCAGCTTTCAGTGGGAAAATAGATATGTTTGAATATATTTTGAACCTCTTTGAAAATGAAAATGAATGTCATATATCAAGTAGCATAAAACCAAAGGCTGATGGAAAGGCTAAATCAGGTGAAACTATTCTGCACGGAGCATGTAGAAATGGCCATTTTGATATGAGTGAATATCTGTTGGGCAGATACCCGCAATTACTGGATGTCTATGACATTGATGGGGCAAATGTCCTCCACTACACAGCTGTAGGAGGCAACGTAGATCTTTTTAAGTATCTATTAAGTAAAGGATTAAATGTTAATTGTACAACAAATATGGGAATAAGTGTATTACACATGTGTTGTGCTTCGGGTAGAGAGGAAATGTGTAGGTATCTTGTAAATAGGTATCCAGGTTTAATATCTGTCATAGATTATAGAGGATGGACAGCGTTACATTCTGCCTGCTGGGGAGGTAGTGTAGAAATTGTGTCTTTTCTTATAGAAAAAGGGATGGAAATTAATGCTTTGTCAAATGATGGTAGAAGTATCCTTCATATAGCTTGTCTCAACGGAGAATATGAAGTTTGTGAATATTTAGTTGAGATTAATCCCGATCTATTAAATGTCAAGGACAAAACTTATAACACAGTGTTGCATGATGCAGCCTGCGGAGGTAATGTTCAAATAGTAAAACTTCTGATTGAGAAAAACATGGATATCAATGCCCAAGGGACAAATGGTGAAACAGTTTTATATAAGTGCTGTCGCTGGGGTAAAATGGAGATGTGTGAGTATTTAGTCAGTAATTTTCCAGAGTTATTGAAGATAAGGGACAATAAGGGGTGGACAGTGTTACATTTAGCTTGTAACGAAGGAAGTGTGGAAACTGTGTCTTTTCTAATAGAAAAGGGATTGGATCTAAATGCCTTGACAAATGATGGTGAAAGTATGTTGTATATAGCTTGTCTTAAGGGGAAGTTTGAAGTTTGTGAGTATTTAGTTGAGAATTATCCCCATCTATTAGACGTCAAAGACAAATCTAGTAACACAGTGTTGCATGCTGCAGCCTGGAGAAGTAATGTTCAAATAGTAAAACTACTGATTGAGAAAAAGATGGACAAAAATATCATACAGGAAGAGGGTGAAACAATTTTACATCAATGCTGCCTCTGGGGTAAAATAGAGATGTGTGAGTATTTAGTCAATAATTTTTCAGATTTATTGGAGATAATGGACAATGAGGGATGGACAGCGTTACACTCAGCCTGCTGTGGAGGAAGTGTAGAAATTGTGTCTTTTCTTATAGAAAAAGGAATGGACATTAATACCTTGTCAAATGATGGTAGAAGTATTCTGCATATAGCTTGTGTCAATGAGAAATTTGAAATTTGTGAGTACTTAGTTGAGAATTATCCCCATCTATTAGACGTCAAAGACAAATCTAGCAACACAGTGTTGCATGCTGCAGCTTGGGGAGGCAATGTTCAAATAGTAAAACTATTGATTGAGAATAAGATGGACATAAAAATCCCAAGGAAAAACGGTGAAACAATTCTACATCTTTGCTGCCGTTCTGGTAAAATGGAGATGTGTGAGTATTTGGTCAATCATTTTTCAGATTTACTGGAGATAAGGGACAATAATGGATGGACAGTGTTACATTCAGCTTGTAACGGAGGAAGTTTAGAAATAGTTTCTTTTCTGGAATGCGCCAAAATGAATTGGAAATAAATGCCATTTACAATGCTGGTAAAAGTAATTTACATATAGCTTGCTTCAAAGAAGTTGGAAATGTTTGTGATATTACTTAGTGAAGAATTGTCCCCATCTATTAAATATCAGGGACAAATCTAGTAATACAGTGTTACATGACGAATCCTGGGGATGCAATGTTCAAATTGTAAAACTATTGATTGAAAAAAATATGGACATAAATGCCCAAGGGACAAATGGTGAAATAGTTTTACATCAATGATGTTGCTCCGGTAACATGGAGATGTGTGAGTATTTGGTCAATAATTTTTCAGAGTTTTTTGAGATTATGGACAATTATGGATGTACAGTGGTACATTCAGCTTGCTTTTGTTTGTTTGTTTGTTGGTTTTTTTTTTTTGTTTTTTTTTTGTTTTTTGTTTTTTTTGGGGGGGGGGGGTTAATGGGAAACAAAACTGTACAAGACTTTTATTTCTATGAAAATGTGGTGTGTGTGCTTTATTTTATAGTTAAAAAATGTAAAAGTCGAATAAGTAATTTAATGTTTATTTATGAAAATTGACGCTTATGCAAAGAGGGTTGAATATTTTATTCCGTTCATTTATGCGATGTCAATGTAATTATATGAATAGAATAGACATACTGGAAATTAATAATTTTGATTTAGCATATATGTTGTAATGGTCATTTATACACCATGTATATTAAAGACATCATTTACAACTAATATTCGTGATCTATATTCAAAAATATCCTTCAAAAGATTGGATGTGAAGTTTGTATATGTCGTTTTATATACGAGTTTTTTGGTTATGTTTTAATGGAATTTTATAACATAAGTACAAAACGACTGAATGTTTAGTATGTGTATTTTCTATTTCATTTTCGTGTATGTTCTTTTATATTTTATTTTTATTGCAATTAGTCATGATATATGCTTAGCATTGCATTTATTTTTATCTCATGCATTTATTGTATTGATTTACATATTATTTTGGTCATATTATTTTTTAATGAGACTATTGGTAATAAAATTCCCTATACAAAAGATAATTATTTGTAACGAGGCTAGCGAGCCTTATAGGGTACCTGAGCATCATGTGAGCATCATGTGAAAATGATTATCATAAAATTCATGCATTTTTATTATACAATCCTTAGAGCCCCCCCCCCCCCCCTTAACATCACAACTCCTGACCCGGGGGCCATGAAATTAAAACTTTTGGAAGAGAAATCATTTCTTATTATTGCTTATATACATACATCGTTGGTTTAATACCCAGAAGCAGTGAAGAAGATTTTTAGAGAGTCAATTAGTTTTCAATATTTAAACTTCGATATCTCCAATCTCCAATCCTCGGTTATCTCGAAGTTTTTTCTCAATCCCATGAGGTTCGAGATAATTAAGTTTGAGTGTATTTTAATGGAGTGCAAATTATTCAGATTTCAAAATTAACATCAAATTTAAAAAAGTATTGACTCAAACATTGAATTTGTTCTCAAATTAAAAGTTAATATACGCTTAACTGTTATGGGTTGGTAAATAACTGATTTCATCCGATCATCGAACTTAGGTCCTTAATTGATTTATCTAATTGCATATTTAAAAAAAAAATACAAAATAGTTAAGAGAATTTGTGTCTGATGCTTAGGGCAAGAAGACAATGCGCAGTTGGGGAGGGGGAGGTCATGGGCCATGGGCCTTAAAGGTCACACAATTGTCATGTTACAGCTAACACTCAAATGAATTTTGGTCGTGATTTAAACAAAAAGTCATGGAATTCCCAATTTTGAAAGAGACACCATTGTTTATCATAATTATACACTAAGCATGCTTGTTTGCTTACTTAAGACCCAGAGGTAGGTCAGAGTAAGAAAGAGAAAATACATTTCTAGTTTATAACCACCAATTGTGTACCCTGCCCCACAGAAACCATTCACCCTGGGCCATATATTTCAAATTTATGGAAATTTTATCATCAATTAAATTTTATTTCATCATAAATGCTTTATTAATACAAAAGAGCAAATTTCAAAGCATTAATTTAATTTCAGACTAAGACATCCCCGGTACCCCCTGACCCAGGGGCCCTGAAATAAATCATTTTTGGGAAGAAAGCTTTCTTCATCACTAATATGTACTTAGATCATTGGCATAATATCCAGAAGCAAAGGAGAAAATAAGGAATTCCTGAATTTTCACTACATTATCATTAGAGTCCCATCCTAACACCAGAACCCTTGATTGAAGAGCCCTGAAATTCACAAATTGAAAAGAAGAATCCTTCCTCATCTCAACAATGTACAAAGTTCATTGGTTTAATACCCAGGAGTAGAGGAGAAGATTTTAAAAGGATTTATGCAATTTCACTATATAATCATAGAGCCCATTCCTAACACCAGAACCCCTGACCCTGCAGGCCAGCAAATTCACAATTTTCGAAGAGGCAGCCTTATTTAACAAAACCATGTACCTGGTCATTTCTTTTTTTAATGCACAAGAGCTTAGAAGAAGATTCTTAAGAAGGAAATGTATTTTCACTACATTATCAATTTGGCCCAGCCCTAACACCAGCACCCTTGACCCAGGGGCCACGAAATTCACAATTTGAGAAGAAGCAGTCTTATTCAACATAACCATGCACTTGGTAAGTTTATTTAATACCCAGTAGCAGAAAAGAAAATTTTTAAAGAATAAAATGTATTTTCACTATGTTGCCAATAGAGCCCAACCCTAACACCAGAACCCCCGATCTAGGGGGCATGAAATTCACAATTTTGGAAGAGACATTTTTGCGCATGTTCGCATTTTCATTTAAACCATGTTTCAAGGTTCTTTGAACTTCTCAAAAAGGTCTAATTAAAACTAGAAATTTTTATCCCGAAAAAGCATTTTTAGATATACCAATGTTTATTAACATGATATGAAATTAAAAGCGATTTATGGAGTTGTGCAAAGAACCTTGAAGCACATTGAGAGGGATATAATGAAAATTGTTGCATGAAAATATTTAATTTTCAAGCTTTATTTAAAGACTTTTTGCATAAAATTATAAATAAGAGTTGCCCTTCATGGCTGAGGGTCGGAGTCCCTCAAAACAAACAGAATTTATGAATTTATGACCTTTGACTGAAGTCATCTCGTTTGTCACTAAATAAAGTTTAGAATTGAATCTTGATGTCTTCTCTCTTTTTTGTTCCCCGCTTTTTTTTTTTTTTTTTTACACAATATTCATAATTTTTCAAGTTATGTCGTTTAAAATACTATGTAATCACCTCATACTGAAGGGTATTTTCACAGGACCAAAAAACTCGTAGAACCAAAACTCTCGTTCAACAATTTCTTATACAGCACTTGAATTTTTCGGCAAATTTCATTCAAAATTACCTCGTCAACAATAAATGTATGGTGTTCATAAATGAATTTATGACATTGCTTCTTCTAAACAACATTTTGCCATTTTATGATAAATATTTCTGTTTTATTTCAATTTTTGACAGTGCCTATCTATCTTGTCGTCTGTTCTCTACTCTATTTAAGGAAGGATACGGAGACAGCGAACAGTATTCAATCTCAGTCCATAACACAATACGAAATAGGAGCAGAGAAATCACGGATCTCCAAAACATCAGAGGTGGAATCCGTTGTTAGATTATTCACTCTATTAAATTTTCCATGATATTTTATTAGTATAAACGAGAGCAATGTCAAAACAAAACAATCATTTCTATCAATGAAGCTTACTAAATGTACATATATATCGGAAAAGACCTAACTTTTCTATGTTAATGTGTGAGAATATCATCCATCAATATTCATATGCTGTTACTCAGTTTGAATTCTGTTATCTTCGGTATCAGTAAATTAACTGATAGGGCATCACAAACGGGAAACTGCTAAGAAAATATTATTCCAGACAATCACCTTTTTACACAGTTCCATACAGCCTTGTACCCCTATATGGAAAACACAATACTTATATGTTAATGTTTACAGAACAGCAACCAATATTCACAAGAATCTGTTTTTACCACTACTTGTGTAAACATCATCGATAATTTGAGTCATCAGACCTCACAAAGAAGTATTATTCTGCATAATCATCTTTTTACACTGCTTCATACGGTCTGGTATTATTGTGACCTTGATACACGTCATTAAAATTATTGGGTAACAGTGACACATTCTCGGAAGTATTGTCATGGTTACTTTGTTGATTGGCACTTCGATTCCGCTTTCTTGGTTTCTTCTTCATTCTTTCTAAAAACTGTGGTTCTAAACTCCTCGCTTCTCTTGCCAAATGTTCTTCATCAGGGTCTAGGTCACGTGAGAGGAAAGCAACAGACGTCCGATAATTCTGTCCAAACTTGTACGGCGCACGCGCAATGAAGTGCGAGAGCGTGGTGAATCTGTGCACCAGCATACAGAGAAATTGAAGAACGAACAGGAATCCAAATACTATTAGGAATACTAAACCTACAAAGGAAGAAAAGAGTCAAGGATAATTTTAAGAAAGGCGAAAGCTAGGAGACATTGGGTTTGTTGTTTTTTTTCTATTACGTGAAAAACTATTTTGTAGGTAAGGATTAAGAATTTAGTTTATGCTTACAATTTTAAAGGAACATCTGACAACAAGAGTTAAAGAAGAACTATTGAAAACTTAAGTTTGATACCTTAAATTTTTACCAAATTATCCTAAACTATAAAGGACATGAAATGATCACACGGTGCTCTCGCCATTTAGTTTCATGACGACATCGTGTCTCGAGGTCCGCATTTTCTACCTCATATGCTTATCTTGATGAGATTCTTTAAAGTTATAAAAAGAATTAAAACGGTCGTCTTGTTTATTTGATTATAAAATGCCATGAACAGCCGGTTTCATGCATAAAATATTGCAATTAGATTTATACACAGTGAAAAATCATCACTTGATTATAACAGCATATTTTTGGACTCTAACATCTATCGCACGTGATCAACGTCTTTTTTCGACGTGATAAACGTTGAAATCCTTACTCCAAATTGACGTTTTCTTTTACATCTCTCGTACCTCTATTTTTTTTTTCGCATTTAAAAACAAGTACTCTGAATGCATTTTATTTTTCAGGAGACCATTTAAATATTTTATAGATCTATGACAGTTTTTCCAGGGGGTGAAACTTAATAGAATATTGGAAAAAGACACCCAGCCCCTATCTGACGTCTTTACAACCCCTTGTTTATACTACTTACTGAGAGGATTTGTCCCGGCCACTTGTAGGTCTATACTACTTACTGAGTGGATTTGTCCCAGCCACTTGTAGGTCTATACTACTTACTGAGTGGATTTGTCCCAGCCACTTGTAGGTCTATACTACTTGATAACGTCATTATAATTACGATCCACAAACAATTCACGATCCCCGATACCATCAACCACTCGTTACGTAGAGTCTCTAGTTTTGCTATATAAAACATGTAAAATATAAGTATACATGAATATACATGTAGTGAAACTACTCGTTCAATCAAACACTTTACCAATC